GTGGTACGCCTGCTTTTATTTCAGTAGGAGAGGAAAAAGAAGAACCTACACGTACGGAAAAGAATCGATCTTCGAGGTAGAAAAAACGTTCAACTTGCTTTTATAATGTTTACTAACAAAATATGTTTGGAACCTTTTCTTAAATTCTTAAGATTTTTAACCTTGTGGACATTTTTTATCGACAATAATAAAAATTAAGACCACACGACAGAAGTGAAAACTTCAACAAGGCGAAATTAATAATACGAAATACAAGTTTTTTTGCGTTCTAAATTAATAAATTTATAACTTTTACAATTTACTTAATTATAATTGTGCATAAATTACTCCATTGAATTTTGCTCTGAGTGGCCTTCGTCTGCATCATCATACTCTAAAAATGAAACTACAGGTTTATGGTAACTAAAATATGAAATGTATATTTTTGAATGGAATGTATTTTCTAAAAAAAACTCCGTCAATTGCTGTTCCATATTTCGTCGTACTGTCATTCGGATCATTCGACATATTCAAATTTAATATTGATTTGATGGCGGGGGGGAAAGTACCCCGACTACGGGGAGACTTTTTAGAGGGTCTCGAAACAGAATTTTAAGTGGTAAAATAGGGGACCCAAGTCGAAACGCGACAGAGATATACATAAATCAAAAAAAGGTGTGGTAATTTTCGATATTTTATGCACGTGGCCGCCCCCCCCCACAACCCATAGCCGCTTACAAAATACAGCTATGACGATCCCCGGCTGCGATAGGGCCTTAGGTAAATATGTCGATTTTCCAAAAGTAATAATAATAATAATAATCACTGAATAACCACGTATAAAAATAGCTGACTCGAGCCGACTTCACCCGAATGAGCGTCTGCGTTACATAACCGAGCGTGACGGTTCAGTTCAATTCAGTACCCACAAAAAGTGCTAAACGCGCCTAAAGAAGTTTTCACTTCAAAAAAATGAATAAAAATCTAAATTGTCTTATGCCTAGTTATATAAATGGTTCAAAAATACTCAAAAGGTTTTGAACATTTTTCGGTCTACAGAAAATGACAATTAAATATTCAGTGAAAATTACATGTATCTACAGTTTTTTGTTAAAGTATAATATAGTTTTTGGCATGTTTAAAAAGGTTCGCATACCAAACAGTTTGAAAAATTATTTCAATAGATTAACTAAAAGATAATACATTTTAAATTTACTTATATTATACTCTTAATTTATGACAAGTGTATCATTTAATTTTATTTGTTTTAGATATAAATTACTATAATATAAACTTCAAATGTATATGAAATATAAAATATTATGCATAGGTAATCATAGTTATTTTAATTAATAATATAAAACTATTGACAGATATCCATGTTTAAAAAAAATATTATTACTGTATTCATCACATACATGGGGGGGGGGGATAGCGTAAGCCTATTAGCCATTAAAATATTATACCCAATATCTTAGGATATATGTACTTTAAACACTGACACACCGTAACATAATTACATTTATTTCAAGAAGCTAAAAGCTGGTAAATTAAATTTTTCATAACATAAGATAATAACTGTAAGTTATGAATGTTACGTAATTAATTGTTATAATATTATGTAATCGGTATCGACTTACAGCGAGATACTGCGATAGCCGTTTTGAATATAATAAACAGTCTTCATTGGATCGTACTCGCTCACAGTTGTTTTGTTGTTTGCTGCACTCCGTGTCTATGTTTGCTAAAATAAACACTAACATGACAATAACAATTGCAATCACCTAATTTTCTTGGATTTGAAACTTAAACTTGCATTACCTATTCTGAGTATTAAAAGTAATAAATTATTAGATGAATTGTCAATCGAAAAAATATTTTTTTAAATCTGATATATATATATATATAGTTGCAGTTTATAAATTATATAGTCTATATTACCTCTATTCAAAAAGAGAATAATTAGTTCAGCCGACTGAATTTCGTGTCAGTGCTCCGCATCTAACACCAACACAATGGCCAATTTAGATAGTCGTAAAGGTGGTTCATACATGTTCTTTGGAAAACATCGGCTAGCAAGGGATGGGGGACTTTGGCCTCAGCACTGCAGCAGCCATCAGTCGTAGCACGAAAGTGATTATTCTCTTTTGGAATAGAGTAGGCATATATTGCTATATATTGTCCTACAAGTGAAAAGTTACAACTAATATTTCCAACTTTACAAGTGATGACTATACTCAGGTTAGGTTAGGGTCTAGACACAAGTCACGCACATTTTCAACCTTGAACAATACAACGGATGAAATATGTAAATTTATTACACAATAATACAATATACGCATATACTAATGGTTGTAAAACGTACGTAATGTACTTATATAAAAGTATATGGTATTCTAATATAATGGGCCTAGTACATGATAAAAACCTAATAAACTAATAAAATATTAGTTATCATTTATCAAGGGAGTTTATATGAATAGTAAATTGTACGAAGTCTTTCTGTAAATTGTCACGAAGCACGAAACTAGAAGATTGCTATTTTTTATTTTAATTTTAAATTAAACATAGGCATTTTAAAAAGGTGATAACCATTTTGAATGCATTTCACATAAGATATTATATTATTTTTTAAGAGTATGACAAAACGTTTCAAAAATATACAATAATACAATATTCTAAAAATGTAATCATCCCACAATTATTGTGCTCTCCTATTTATGATGCGTTGTGGGGGATATACTATTAGTTACCTGTACTTAGTATATTACGATTTATTTACTTTGTTATTCTGAATATTAATAGTAATATATTATTAGATGACGTATCAATCGACAACTTATTTTTTAAATTTTTATCTATTTACCTTGTAAGGTATATAAACAGATGTATGTATAAATAAAATAATATAATATACCTAATAATATATTGATAAATACTGTGTCAATAAAAAGGTTAAATATTAATAGAGCCAAATACCCAATGTGGTGAACTCTAGACGATACCTTCAAATTTCAATATGTTTAATGTCACATCAACAAATCATACATTAACATTAACAAAAACACTGACATTAACATTAACAAATTCCATGTTTGTACAACGGTGTGAGCGGATCTGTGACTAACGAGGATAATCAATACTTAACTTACATAATGTATTGAGAGGAGAAATATGATCTACCGAATCAGATATAGATAGTTATTTATACCAACATAGCTTATTTTAATTTGTATAATTTATATTTATTTTTCTTTGTTCAGTTGATTTTTTTGCGATTTAAATGGAGTCTTTAAAGTTTAAACCAACTGAAGTTTCAGTATTTATTCAAAAGATGGTGCTGCTGGTATTGTTATAAAGGTAATGTGAATTAACCGTGTTTTCTACAATATTAAAACTGATATTTGGAGTTAATAATAATCAGGGTTAAACCTTCTATTGTAATGATGAGTATCAAAATAAAATGTAATAATATTTTTTTTTTAATATTTTAATAAAGTTATAAAGAAAAAAATTATTTAGATACCTGATGTTGTATTCAAATCTAATCTTTTACAATATATGTTTATCGATCTATATTTATCTATGATTAGCATTTTTGATAACTAATTATAGTTTATAAAAATAATTATGAAGTATAATAATTTTGCTTAGGTATGTTATTATTTTCTAACATACTTGGCAATTAAAATAGCCTATTATAAAGCAAAAAGAAATAATAATATGTGCATTGTTGGAGACTGTGTAGTTCATAATATAGGTGCATGCAGATATAATTCCATCTACCTATTATGAGCAGATAATAATAATATTCTCGTCATACTTATATAACTTGGTTTCAGACTTATTATGATCCAATCAAAACTTTATCATTATAATATTGCATACTTATCCAAACATCATTATTTGACAAATTACTATAGACAAATGGTTGGGTTGAGTTACACTAAACGTTATGTTAATATTCAACAGACATCATACAAATAACGTTTACTATAATAATTTTATCTTCATATTTGCCTTTAAGGTTATATGTTGTGCAAGTATTTACTGAAAGGAATTTTCAATTAATTTTGAGGTTTGTGATTACGAACGTTTTGTGGTAGGTATATACAAAACGTAAATCTCTATATTATTTAACGAATTACATGGGCAATATCATGTAAGTATATATTATTTATTAGCATACAATTATTATACATTATTTAAACTGGAAAATATTGATAGTAACATTATTATATTACCTGATTTATATTTTATATTGTTTATGGATAATAAATTTAAGATAAATAGCAGGTACCTAGGTTATACGTGATCCCCATGTTATATGAGTGCATTATAATATTATATATTTGTAAATAGTTCATAAATAAGTAATTTAAAAAAATGCGATCTCAATGTACCTGTAATATCAACGTCAAAATACAATAAATACAATAACACAATGAATTAAAACTAAAGCGTGATTTCGATGGATTGCGATTATCGCCACTGAAACTGTGTGGATATTATAGAGTTAATCAGCTTCCACAGGCTGTTTTTTTTGTTACTCAAATATAATTTTAGCTCTTTATGCATTAACAACTTTGACAATCTGCCGAAATACAGGTTCATCAGTCATACGTGTGATGTGGAGTGGTGTCGATTCTAGCCTCAAAAGAAAATCTGTTTGTAAAAAAAAAAAAAAAAACGTTTTGTACTGATGCACAATTTCCATTATTCATTATTATTATGCAAATATTTTTCCTCAACATAATTATTGTTCACATAATATACAGCGTCTACTTAAAACAGAAGCCTGAAAATACTCGATAAACGTACCAATAACCACATGCGAACGATTATTTCGTTTTTATATTCAAATCCAGTAGTTAGTTGGCGTTGTGAAAATGTTTTTTTTTTTCCGAAAACATTAAAAATACAAAAAAAAGTTAAAGCAGCCGGCGCAATGTCACACGAATATTTCGATAAACACAATCGCAATCGACTATAGTGTCGCGGGCAAACAACACACCTTTATAATGGTACACATCAGGACGATTTTGATGTTATACATTGCGATTTTGGCCGTTGACGTGAGTTTCCATATGAATATAATAAGCTATGATGTATTATATTATGTTGGGTTCCTTCCACGGGTGTGGTATTCGGCATGAATTTAAATTTAACGTTATACTTTGTATGATACAATATTATGGTGCTCATCTAGAACGTATATTGTGTATGTTTCCACGTTTCTGGCAGAAATTCGAATTTTTTTTGATTCTTTGTGTAGTGTTAATAATTTATCGACCATACAAACCGGAAACCGTACACAAACGGCCGGACATTCGTACGCCGTGCGATCGTAATCTGTAAAAAAAAAGAAAAATAACGAAAAACGGATTAACGATACCTAGCTACGATTTATTTATTTTTTAGATATTAATACGTGTCGGTCAAGCCCGGATTAAGGATCAATTGGGCCCCGAGACACCATACACTTAGTGGGTTCCCTTTCAACTTTAACTTCAAAATAATTGTATTATTACATATTAACGACTTTTTATTATTTACTATGCAAAAAATATACAGAGTGTATCTTATGTCATAGTACGTGTGGTCTTTTTAACAATTATGGATTGATGATATGGAATTTCGTTACAACAAAAAAAAAGACGTGTTTCTTTATTTTTAATAGTCATTTTTTTTTATAACATTTTCAAAATTTTTAAACACGCGCAGTTGTACCGAAAATAAAATCGACTTTATTTTTTTCAAATAGTACCTCATAACCACTATATATTTTCATGGATTCTGATAAAGCTTTTGTCTGAACATTTGGACAATCAAATGATCAATTTTAGTTTGCTAGGTTATTACTTATTAACTATGGTCCTCGAAAGTTTAGTATAATATTCATGAATACTTTTAACTGAAATACCTAATTTACAAGAGCTAAATATGTTTTTCTTATAACTACCTATATACTTAAATAGTTAAATCAGTAATCAAAAATGCTCAAAAAAAATTAAACATATTCAAAATTGTGTTTGCCAACACAGTTTATTATTTATAGTAATTTTTCGTAATATAAAATTGAGAAAAATTTTATTTTATAATTTTTATTTATTAAGTAATAATAATTTACCTACTATTTATACCTACCTACTTAAATATATATTTTTTTTAAACTGTATTGGATGCGTTAAAAAAATATGTTCTGGGGATAAAGATGTGCCCCCAAAAACAATGGGCCCCGGGACCGTGCCACCCTTGGCCCCCCTCTTAATCCGGGCTTGGTGTCGGTACCTACTAATTACACCTACCTATACATTATATTGTCAACTATCGTACGAATGTGTATTCGTAAATTGTAAATCTATCTGTTCACTGTATAATATTCATGGAGGTGATGGATTCCCGACAAGTATAATTTATAGCTATACACCGATTTTTTTAAATATTTATTTCTGCTTAGTAGGTATCATTTATATTTTACGGAAGAAATTATTCTTTAAAAAAATATAATTTCCACTAAAAATAATTTCCAAAGATTGTATGAATTCAGCTAGTTTTTATGTGCAATTATAGACATAATAATTAATCAGTTATGTCTTCCTATTTATTATTATAATTTATTGTTCGGACAGAATGTGCTAGTAGATGCTGGAGAAGCAACGGAAAACAGGAAAGCAAAGTTGTCCGAACGTGCTGAGATACACAAGAATGCGTTAAGATTACGAAAAGATGATTTAGAAAAAAAATTTGGATCAATGTCGCCGTCGGTCAAGAATGAACTAACCCAAATTAATTACATTATAATCGACCATATCATCGAAAATAAATCATTCCCAAAGTATTTGAAAAATGTGTTTTCCATATTAAAAAAATACGCAGGTAAATAATTTTACTAGTTCAAATATATTATTTAAAAAATATTTTATGGCATATTATAAATTCTATATTATATGGAATTCAACGATTATAAACAATAAGATAAAGTCAGTTATTAAAAAAAATATATAACAATAGTTTAGTCATTTGTATTTTGGGATATCAAACAAATCGAAACTAGAGTGCTCTTTCATCTTAGAGCCGTAACAGTACACACTTAAGAGGACTCTACACTCACATTCGTTGTCTCCGTCTTACAAGTGCGTAACATAGCAAATTGTAGGCTCCGCAGATCACGTTTATCTCCTTTATTTTAACAGTTAGAGTAAATTGACCTCCTATTAAATTTAAAGGTAAGATTATTATCGAGAGCATCTCATATCCTTTTTATTATACAGGGTGCGGCATAATGGACTCCCACATTTCCGAGGTGAATTAAAAAAAAACTATACAAGATATGGACATTTTTTTTTTATTTATTAAAACTAAATTAAGTAAGGTTTTTTTTAAAGTTATTTTTCAAAAATAATACTGTCCAAATGATTGCTGTATTGCAAAAAATGTTTCCTGGTCGCCTGATCTCCTTAAGGGAAAACATAACATGGCCTCCTCGCTCCCCTGATTTGAGTCCATGTGACTATTTCTTATGGGGATATCTCAAAGCTGAAGTTTTCGAACATCGACCTAGAAGGCTAGAACCATTGAAGAACTAAAAGTGGCCATCCGTCAAGAAATCTCAGCGATTCCACTCGATATGCTGGCGAGAGTAATGGACAACTTTCGAGAACGGCTCCATATGTTCGTTGCTCCTCAAGGCAATCATTTAGACGATATTATTTTTGAAAAATAACTATAAAAAAACCTTATTTAATGTAGTTTTAATAAATAAAAAAAAAATTTCCATATCTTGTATAGTTTTTTTTTTATTCACCTCGGAAATGTGGGAGTCCATTATGCCGCACCCTTTTTAATTTTAGAGCGAATTATTACTATTTTAAAATTGTAAATTGTTTGTACATCTTAAAATACACGATATTCGTTTTAAAACTAAAATATAATAAAATGCCTATGAGATGCCCTGAATAATAATCTTACCTTTATATTTAATAAGAGGTCAATTCGCTCTAACTTTAAAACTAACGGAGATAAACGTGATCTGCAGAGTGTAAAATTTGATATGTTACGCGTTTGTAAGACGGAGACAACACATGCGGGTGTGGCGTCCTCTTAATACGGTATACCAAATTAGATATTTTGTCTCATATAATAATTGGTTATTGCAAGGAACTTTTCATTCCTTATTTTAAAACTTCCTTCAAGATACAATATATTAGTACTTATTATCATTTATTACGAACATTAAAAATATTAATTGGAAAAAGTATTTATTATTTCGGGTTTATAAACAAAAACACTAAATGTTCAATGTGACTGCAGAGGTTATCTCTTTTATCGCACAATTGTTGTATTTCTGTGTACAATTACGTTTCAACTTTAATCGTAAAATTTTTACAAATCGATTTTATCGGAATTTGATTTTACTAAGTTTATTTTTCAATTATGAAGCTCTTAAATAGTAGTATGAGATATAAATATAAGTAATTTATACTTACGCAATTTGTATATAAAACCATGCTTTCAAAATCCGATTGATTTGATATTATATTGTTCTGTTTTAAAATGCTAAACGGATTTGATGTATAAACGTTGACGTTGTTATACCTCATTTGAAATTTGAATATTACTATGTACTTATACAGTTTTGAATGATACTTTGATACCATTGATTTGCCATGTTGGTATTAAATAACCGTTAATAAATGTATGTGAACGATTAGATATGCGAAAATGTTGGAGTTTTGATTGTTTGATGTCCAGAAATAACAACGTCCATGCTGGATTTGAATTATTTTATTCATTAAATGTTATGTAAATAATATAGTACGGCTAGTAGGAATGTATAACTTTTAAAATATATAGTAAATACAACTGGTATAATATGTTGCTCAGTGTAAACTGTAAATATAAATGGTAATATTGTTAACTCAAACTAACGTTAATAGTTTATATTATATATTTATTATATTATTTTTATTTTAAGTAATCGTTACGAATTAAAAAATATGTAGGTTTGACGTTTGTGCAACCTTCAATGTAAGTAACTGTGTATTATGAATAATCAATGTTTGAAAACTATGTAACACGATGATTTATGCAACAGCTTATTTATTGGTATATTTCAAACCTAGATTACATAATTACCCTTCACTTCCAGGAAATCTTCATCACAGATTTAAAATGGAGACGTGATCTTACGATTTTACTGTCTTTTAACTTAATATCCCAAGATAAGGTTCGGCAAAAATAAAAAAAACAATGTGAATTATTTTTGGGTGGTAACTTATTCACATATCTACCCCCAATTATGTTTTTCTCCCTTTATTTTTTTACTGTGTATAACTGTACTACAGGTTATACATAAGTGAAGTATTTCTTTGTTCTAAAATATATCCTATTGATATTTATACCATTGAATTATATTATGTTAGGTATTTAAAACCTATATTTTTTTCGATATCATATTATAAGTAGGGGTCGGTTATGTAATCTTCCTAACTAAGTAATTACTGTACAGATTATACATAAGTGAAGGATCACAGTGTTCTAAATTATATCTTATTGATATAATATAATTCATTGAATTATATATGAAGTACTTACCTAGGTATTTAGTTTCAAACTATTTATTTTTTTCGGTATCATATTATAAGTAGGTACTGATCGGTTATGTAATCTACTATTATTTTAAAAATTCCAATAAAATAATTCTCTTGAACGTGATTTACATATTTTATTAAATTAAGAAAAAATATTGTTGATAAAACAATAACTTACAAAGGGAATTAAACATGCATACGTAAACATGAAATTAAAATGAATGTATACATAGCTGGTAACAGGGTTGTTGTACGATTTAAATGAAATTCTCATAGTTATTAATAAAAAAGAAAATGTCCGTAATGTGATTGACTGTGGGAAATATTAATGTGACAATGTGTGTCTGGTAGGTTAGTTCCCAAAAACGATGTCTGTTATTTTTTCGTGAGTAATTTTTTGACCATAATCGACTATCCGGTTTACTGTATATATATTATATAATATTAATTCTTGTCACCTTCTAGCATAATAAAAATCATGGTTTCGGTTATATTGATTTTTTCATAAGTTGTTTATAATTAATGTTATATTGTAATTTGCGTGGATTTGCGTATTTTTAAGTTATATCATCTTTAAAATATCGAATGTGAAGGTGGAGACGTAAGCACGGATCCAAGGGGAGGGGTCTGAGGGGCTTTAACCCGCTCTTGGACTTGTTATATATTATGTATGTATGTAATAAATATTTAATACCTCTTGATATTTATAAGTTTAAAAAGTAAACATAGTTATTGCTGATATTGCTATCGAATGTCATTTGGATGAAGAAAAATCGAGAAATTAAAGTTTCAAATGTTATCAATCAGGCTTATGGAAATAATTATGATCAGAAATATTTGATACTTACGGTTACAAGTTTACAGTAAACTTTTGAATTGAGGTTAAAATACCCAGGATCAATGTTTTTTAGTTTTTCATATTAATATATCGTTGTTTTATATTATTATATCCAAATCACGTATAATATGGAAAATTATAAGTTAGCCCCACCATTCCATATTTATAGATCCATGCCTACCGAAACGTGATGTTATTAGTGCACCATACATGGTAAAAGCTTCATGTTGTACCGACTTTAGTGTCAATACTAACTAACTGGTTAGGGTTGTTAAAATTATTGTTTTATTAATATTTTGATTCATCATAATTTATGAAAATATTAACAATGGTTTACATAAATGTGTAGTGGTTTATAGATTTATAATACATATTAAATGTTTTATTTTTAGTGAGACAACTTAATACAAGATATGATAAACTTAAAGATATTTATAAAAAATGGGAAAAACAAAATTTCCCAGACAAGAAAAAGAAAGCTCAAGCTTTAAAAATACTGGAGAAGCAAGCAAAAGAAAAGAAAGCTTTGCAAAAAAAGAATGAAAAGAAGCTACAGAAAAATAAATAAAATAGGGATCTGTTACCCAAATATTTATACATATTTATAACTGCTAATACAATTCTATATGATTTAAGTAAGTTTACAATTATTAATCAATTTTTTTGTGTAAGACAAAAATTATTAAAAATCATATATTTTACGAATTTCAGTTTTGTTTATGGTTATACCATAGAATTGAATAAAATGTATTTAAATTAATATGTACCTATATTTATTAATAATAATAAACAAATTAATATAATGTTGTGAAAATTCTTCAATTATATGAGCATTTTATTTTGTATTAACTTTTGGGGTTTTCCGGTTATATTATTCATTATTTTTGGATAATATAGGCTCATAATGAATTAAATCTTGTCCTACATTGATTATAAACCTTTTAAACATCAAAATTAATTTTTTTCTTTTGGAAATATGTTTTCTATATTAGGTAGGTTATTTAAAATTGAAAAATTATTTTGTAGTTAAAAATTTATAAAATGTTCAATTTTAGATTCTGAGTGGAACGATGAATGTATTGCTTTTACAATGATGTGTGTTTTTTTATTTTTAAATTTTAAATTTTTTTGTGTCTGTGTACACGATAAGTAGTCGAAATAATGCTTAGATTTTCAACTTCAGTATCTTGTTCGATTGGAAAGTGAATATCGTTGATGCATTGGGGGGTTCAAAATTTAAATTTCCAGTAGTTTTCAAAAGCACCGGGAAAAAGAAAAGAAAAATTATTAAGGAAAAACCGGAATTTTTACACAAAATCTGTTTTCGAGAAAATCGATTTTGGTTTTTGGTGTAACTTTAAAACAAATGACCGTAGATACATGAAATTTTCAATGGTTGTTTATATTTGCATTTTCTATACACGATAACATTTTCAAATTATTTTGGTTTATTTTGAACTGTTATAGCTAAGGATTGCAAATTTAAAACAAAAGTTCTCATAAATAGTTCATACTGTAACTAAAAGATCTAAAAAATATATGAACACAGTTATTTTTTACAGACATTTTAAATTAAAATTTGGAGGAAATTACATATTAAAAAACCTAGAACAACTATTTTAGTTATTTTGTTGTGATTGAATAATATTATTCGTGGGTACTTGAAACTTCTAAAGTGTACTATTATATATCTATGATAGTATCACGGTTTTTGTTGATGTATAACGCGTTATAAGTACCTAATGGATATTGTGATATGATTAACTTGGAATTTATTATGGGTACCTATTATAGGTCAAATTTTGGTTCAGTACCATAGATATGTATATAATATGTCTTATACCTAGACTGACATACCGTCTCCGCTCAGAATCGTTTTTCTTATACAATGATATTAGATTATTGAATTCAAATTTACTACCATCCATTATACAGTGATCCACTTGTAACCTGCCGTACAGCAGAGCATCTTTTTTTTTGATACCTATACAGTTGAATTCAACTATATTCTATTACTACATAATGACTATTCAATTTTATTAAGTCATATAAATATTCATAATTTATGAATTTAAATAGAACAGCGTTTAGTTTTTTTGTAAATCCATATTAGGTAATTTATTTATTAATTCAAAAATTAAATTTTAAAATTATTTTACATTTTAGGGTATTTTTTGTTGGTGTATTAATAAAATTAATATATTTATATTGTAGTAGCGTACTTTTTTGATTATACTCTTTAGCACTACTATTATCATTAAATAATGCTTTCTAATTCTGGTTGTTGGAATATTTGAGTAGATGTACCATTTTATATTTGTTGATCATATTTTTAAAAATAAGATATTTTTTACTATTAAAAGAGTGTTTGGTGGCACATAAGATGAGATCTATAGATTATAAGAATGAATATGTAGGTATTACAATTATGTGTTTTAATCCATATTTATCATAATATGGCATAATATTTTGGAGCTGTAAAATGATTCAAGCATCAATTTTTTTGGTTAGTTTTCTGATAAAAATTGAATTTTGTTAAGACTTGGGGGATATAGGACATAGGTAACTAAGAAATTTATAGGCATTTAAATTAAAATTCAAACTAGTAATAATACTAATTTAAAAATAAATTAATAACAGTAATACCTATTATGTATAAAAACATTTTAAAATATCCTTTGGAATAGTGTCTTTGACTCCACTCAGAATCGTTATTCGTATGCAGAGTTATCAATATTTAACACGTCACAATGTGGAAATCACAAATTTATATTGAATGACACATCATCCATTAAAGTTTAAATTATTAAATAAAGTTTTTATAGTATAAAGTACACCCGAAACTTACTATACAGTTGAATGACTTTCCGTGATATAACTTCAAGTTATGAAGCAGATTAATTTTTTCTAAAACAAAATATATGGGTATAAATTAAAATAATTCAAAGAAGTATAGTTTCTGAAATAACAAACCTTATATACAAAAAAAGTGCTCTGCTGTACAGTAGGTTTCAAGTGGGTAAGTGTATAATGATTAATGGATGGCATTACATTTTTGAATTCAATGATATAATATCATTGTATAAGAAAAACGATTCTCAGCGGAGACGATATGTCAGTCTAGGTATAAGACATATTATATACCTATCTATGGTAGGTATTAAAAAAAAAATTGACCTATAATAGGTACCTATAATAAATTCCAAATTAATCATATCACAATATCCATTATTTACTTATAACGCGTTATACATCAACAACAAACCCTGATACTATCATACATATATAATAGTGTACTTTAGAAGTTTCAAGTACCCACGAATAATATTATACAATCACAACAAAATAACTAAAATAGTTCTTCTAGGTTTTTTATTATGCAATTTCGTACAAATTTGAACTTAAAATGACTATAAAAATAAATTGTGCCTATGCATTTTTAATATTTTTCAACTGATATTGTAACAATATATCAGGAGCCCTGTATACATTTTTACACTTTTTGGCCCTACAGATAAAACTTAATTGATATTTACAGAAAATAAAACTAAAAAAATTGAAAACTGTAAATGTCTGTAAACAGCTCAAAAAGAGTCGAAATATTTTCAATATTGTATGGTGTATAGGAAATGCTAATATAAACATTCAATTAAATTTTCATGTATCTACAGTTATTCTTTTTGAATTACAACAAAATAAGGAAATCGTTACATGAGAAATCGAGTGAATATCCAATGTTGTAAAAATTTAAATTTCAAACGCTCATAAAAATATAATTTGACTTTCTTATAGACATTTTTTTTTTGATAAAGGTAGATAATCTTATAAGGGATCTTGTATTACATTTTCATATCTTAGATTTAAAAAGAAAAATTTTTACGAATTCTTAACTCAAAATAATTTGATAATTTTTATGATTTTTCCATATTTTGTCAAGATTTGAACTTTAAATGCTTATAAAAAAAAAGAAACTGTGACTAAGAATTTTTAATATTTTTCAAACGTCAATGTAATAATATAGTAGGAGCCTTGAATTCAATTTTTAAATATTTTTACTCAACAAATAAATTTTTATGGATATTCATAAAAAAAAAAACTAATAAAATTGGAAACTGAAAATGTCCCAAAACAGTTCAAAATAAATCAAAATATTTTTAAAATGTTAATGTGTATAGAAAATGCAAATATAAACGACCAGTAAAAATTGCACGTTACTACTGCCATTTGTTTCAAAGTTACACCAAAAACCAAATTCAATTTTGTGAAAAATCGATTTTGCGTAAAAATTGCCGTTTTTCCTTAATTTTCTTTCGTTTTTCTTGGCGCTTTTGAAAATTACTGGGATTTTTAAATTTTGATCTGCTCGATGCACCAACGATATTCACTTTCCAATCGAACAAGATACTGAAGTTGAAAATCGAAGCATTATTTCGACTACTTATCGTGTATACTGACACATAAATAAAAAAAACACACATCATTGTAAAATCAATACATTCATCGTTCCACTCAGAATCTAAAAATTCCTTATGATATTAATGGTTTTAAATAAAATATCAAAATAAATATCAAATATCAAAATACGTAATGTGTAGCTCGGAAAATGTTTACGAATAATTTAAATGTGGAATTATTAATTACCTACCTAATGTTAATTATTATTATTTTCAAATTATCAAAGTTCTGATTTTCTGGTATATTTTAAATCTTTTATTAATATTATGGACTGTAATTTTCATTAACGACAGAAATTACTGTTTCGAATTTCGATTTATATAATACCCGTTTCTTGGTATTTACTCATGTATACCATATTATGTTGGTATAAGTTCATGACAATAAATTCCATCATTGTCGTTCAACTGCTAAATATTTGAAATTCTACTCGCGGATAAAACGATTAGGTACTTAAAGTCAACGTAACACACTATGCGTATATAATATTATTTATACAGATTGATTATATAGAAACCATGTGAAGTTCGAAAACTTCTAAATTTGATGATCATGGATCGCGTGCTCGACCGGAATACTAAGTACTCAATTTGTGATTCGTTATCGCATAACTCTTAGAAACATGGATGTCCGTAGTTGATCATATTGTGGAAAATATAATAAGGACGCATTCGAAATATCGGACGTGGTTTCGTTTTCTTGTCCGCAATATTATTATTTTCGACCCTGTCGTGGTACATATTATTATTATTGTTGATTATTTTAAATCGATTGTTTTATTGTTTTTACAATTTCTTTCTCGTCCGGTTCCGTTCCGAAATTAAATTGCACCAATACCAGCCACTTGCCATATTATTACGTCCTCTTGTAAACACCAAGTGCTGCCCTGGACAATAACATCTGTATAGCTTGCAATATTAAATAATACTATATATATAATATAGTGTATTATAAGAAAATCTCGTGGTTATATAATGATTGCTTTTCAAACAGCCATTGTATCTCTGCATTTTCCGTTTTCCTACCCTCGTTTACTAAATAACTATATATAATACTCACGCCGTATAATAAATATTGAAAATTTTAAAATATTATACTTTATAATATAATATA